CGTTGACTTTGATCGCAACGCGTTGACTGGCGTTGACCTAGGGTTACGCGTTGACCTGCATTTACCCTTAGGGTTTTGAATCGTCAAACGTTGACTTTGGTCGCAACGCGTTGACTGACGTTGACCTAGGGTTACGCGTTGAGCGGCGTTGACCCTAGGGTTTCGAATCGTCAAACGTTGACTTTGGTTGCAACGCGTTGACTGGCGTTGACCTAGGGTTACGCGTTGACCGGCGTTGACCCTAGAGTTTTGAATTGTCAAACATTGACTTTGGTTGCAACGCGTTGACTGGCTAGAGTTACGCGTTGACCGGCGTTGACCCTTAGGTTTTGAATCGTCAAACGGTGACTTTTGATTGCAACGCGTTGACTGGCGTTGACCTAGGGTTACGCATTGACCGGCGTTGACCCTTTAGGGTTTCGGATCGTCGAACATTGATTGGTGTCGATTTTCATCAAGACATCCAATAATCGACGGAAACGGGCGAATTCGGGCCTAAAACAGGCGTACGAGGACAAAATAGGACCCAAAACACCTTGGGGTGTCTCGGCCAAGGCCGAGACACCTTGGGGTGTCTCGGCCAAGGCCGAGACACCCTAGGGTGTCTCGGTTTTGGGGCCGAGACACCCCCTCTCCCCTCTCTTTTGTCTTTTTCCTCCTTTTGTTTGCTTAGCTTTCTCTTGCTTTGGTCTTATTACCTCTTTTGTTTTCCCCCTTCTTTTCAAATTTTCAAAAGGATTCCCTCTTATATTTCAAACCCTTTCTTCTTCCTCCTTCTTCCACCATTGTTTCTTCTCTTTCAAGAACTTAAAACCCATAAACTCCACAAGGAATTTTCGGATTTTTGGTGTTCATCCCTTGGCCGAAATTGATCTCCTCCAACTAGGGTTTCTTCTTCCACCTTCAAGCTCGAGTCTTGGCCCTTGGAATTAGGGTTCTCAAACCTCTTGATTTGGGTAAGCTCCCCTTCACAATCCTCTCTCCTCTCATTTTTTGATAAAGATTGCATCTTTACTCTTATAGTAGGCAAAGGGGTTGTGTATGCACAATGCTTTGGGGGGTTTTGTGCAAAAGAGGCAATATGGCCGAATTTTGGGGGGCTTATTTGCAAAATGGGACTGAAATTCGTGGGGGCTTTTATGCAAAGATAGAACTGCAATTTTGAGGCTTGGATTCATGTTTATTTGATCAAGAAAAATGAAGGGTGCTTTATGCAAGAGTTGTTGAGGGGTTAATTTGCAAAACAGCCCATAAATGTCTTAGAGGGGCTTATTTGCAAAAAGGCCGCGAATTTATGGCTGAAATCCAAGGAGTTTAGACCACAAATTCATGATCAAAATTTTGATAACGGCATGTGGAGATCAAACCAAAATCAGTGGAGGGGTTTTTATGCACAATTGGCCAAATTCTGCGAAAGGGTTTATTTGCAAAATTTAACCAAAATTGTGAGGTATTGGGGGGTGCTATATGATCAGATGTGATGACCACGACCCGACCCGGGCGTGTCCTTGACCCGAATTTTGGCCTTGAACACGAAGGGTATTTTGGGTATTCCACCAAAATTCACCGCGAAAGGTGACAATCATTGTCTCGTATGCACGAAATTTGTAGGTTTAACTAGACTTCAATTATGAAATCCTATTTATGTACAGGATTTTAATTAAAGTTCTTAATTTCCCTTTTAAATTTCGTGTATTCATATTTTAGATTGTACCTGACTTGATGCTTTTTGTTGCAGATTTCAATGTCTCCACGCCGATCTCGACCTCGTAGGAGTCGTTCTCATTCACAGCATAGTGAGGAAGAGGTTCCCGCGACATCTTCCCCCGCGGCCTCGTTCTTTTCCTCCTCACGCCAACACCGGTTGTAGTCGGGAGGTCTTCTCTTCAGCTTCCCTTAGGCAGGCTGTCAGCCCACTTCCTCGGTTCGATAGAAATCGCTCAGACGACTCTTGCCGATTGATACGGGAAGGAGGGCGCCATTGCTTGCGTCAGCTGATCACAGATGCCTCCTTTACCGCCGATTCCACCTCCACTCAGGCTTTACAGAAGCCGAGCTTCTTATTCGGGGACCATGTCGAGGATCCTGCTGCGCTGACCCTTGGCAAGGAGCACTGGCTGACTCTTGACGAGGGAGCTTGTTTGTACATCCCCTCGATTCCGCGCCAACATTCTTTCAGTCACTTGAAGGGGCAGGCCGTGGAGCGACAGATGTCTTGGCACCTTACTGAAGATGCTGAGCGGGTTCAGTGTGGATATGCCACTCACCATAAGACCCCCGGCTCTAACGGGTATCATGACGTTCGTGGTCTTCGACCCGGGATTATGGGCCTTAA